TCTGTTTATCTATCTATCTATCTATCTATCTATACACCAATTTATTCGAACATACATTTTGAAATAATACTCCAGGTTTCCATTTGGCGTGAAAAGATCTGGCGCAGTCCCTAGACAACAAAGCCTACGACGGAAGTGAGGTTATTATCTGTGCCCCTCGCAGTGTGCTTGAATTACGCGTAAATTGGTGATGAGCGTTCCAAACATTGTATCCGAACTCCTTAGAATCGCGTAGCCGCTCACCTCTGCATCCTGACCAACAAGCTGTGGACACAAGCATAACTACCACAGATCTGCATGAGGCCGGCGTTCATGCAGCGTGATGGATTCATGTTTTATTTCACTCTTTCAGCCTGCTCTTTTACTCGAATCTTAGCCAGGTAATCAGCACAGAAAGCCGTGAAGTCAACTTTGGATAAAAACACGGACTGGCTGTCGGTTGTCTTTCACCTCTCCATGTTGGGCGCTGGCATTTCGGACATGTGGCCAGTCAACCTCACATGTGAGTCCAACTACACGGAAGCTTGTTGAATAACGCATACCCCGGAATTTAACACTGTAGATTCCCCCTTCTTTCGGTTTCAGTCTTATTAATAAAACACCCAAGTCATTATTTTGTCCTTTATCGAAACTCAGCAGGAAACACCGAATAACGACTCAGCTTATAGAGGAAGTAGGAGATTTCATGATCCCAAAAGGACTGAGCAAGAATTTCTGAAGCTCATGATAAGGTGTGGTAGGTAAGGCAAATTGATGCTTTTATTTTCAGGCAAACGCTTCTATCAATTAGGAACTATTTGAACTGAGGGTGTTGCGAAGAAACGCTAAAACAGAACAAAGACTGTAAAGAGGTTCTATCAATGAAGCAGATCGTGGCAGGTTCTTTAGTGCAACTTCGGGAGCATTCGAACGAATCCGCATACACCACAATTCGGAGTTCCAGTGGGCAACATGACCCGGATGCGGACACCGTACATATATGCGAATCCATGCGAAGAGAAATGACACAAGGAATAGGTCAGTGTCACTTGTTACGTTAGTTTGAATCCCGCCCATATTTGAATCGATTGCCCAGTTGACTAGTTGCAATTATCTACAATAATCCACCGCCGTCAGTCCTCTTGTTACAATACGACAAAAAGTTGGGACCTGTATTTCAAATCACAATACAATCTATTAACGTACATGAGATTTTTGTTATGATCAGTAGCGCTAAACTCATAGTTGTACAGTATGTTCACCATTAGTTTAGGTGAGGAAACGAGTAAGCCTATGAGTAAGTTATGACGGTGGATAAACCACTACGAGTGTCAAAATCCACAGGTTGAACTTCTATGATGCATTAGTTATCATCTTCGTTTTCCCTACAGAAAAAACGTCTTTCTAAGCCCAATTCAAACAACTAGATAACTTCTTTTGCACGATGCGCCAGACTTAGTTAGGCCTACTGTGGGTTTAACCGCTTCTCCTCATTGAATTCTTAGGTAATGATCACCAAATATCCTCTTGTTTGAGTGGGTCCGACATCGCTTACCTTGATAACATTCACTGAAACAAACAAATGGCTTCCGCCTTGAAACCGGCGAGTTATTCCCGTTACACTCGGTGTCTTTTATCCTCCCAAATGCGCGATCAAAGTGGTGAAGCAACTTGCTCACAGCATTTACTGGACACTATTTCGTGTTCTTTACGTCACCAAAGTAGAACGGACCCCGAACCAACACAACTGCACGTAATTTCGCAGAATAAAACAAAAACTTGGACTTGATTTCCTGTGTAAATGTACCAGCAACGGCCAACATGAAAGCAGCAGCGTAAATGCGGAAGCTGAGGTGCTTTCATTCTGTTCACATTTCGCGTTCGAATAGGAGGAGAGGCCGCTAGTACTCTCAGATGTACTGACTAAAGTCATCCCGTCCTTTGGTATGCACTTTGCACCCACAAAGGGTAAAGTCATGCTTGTGGACGTGCAGTTACTGAACACGCCACTTACAATCCAAGGAGAGGCACTCGAAGTTGTGGAGCGTTTTACGTATCGTGGAAGTTGTATTAGCTCTGATTGTAGTGCGACAGATGAGTTGAATGCACGAATCTGCAAGGCTCGGGCCGCGTTGGCTAATTTGAGACAGCTACAGCATCAGGATGGTTTATTCCTGAATCTGAAGGGACGTGTGTATCAAGCTACAGTACGGACTGTTTTGTTGTATGGCTGTGAGACCTGGCCTATTCCAGCAGCGGAACTGGGATGTCTTCAGGTGTTCGACAATCGTTGTCTCAAAATCATAGCTTGTGTGGGTTAGTGTTGGCGAATCCCTAATGAGACAGTCAGGAAGCGCGTTTTCGGTTGTGCAGCGGGTAATTCCATTGAAAAATGTGTCCAGTACTAGAAGCTGCGTTGGTTGGGACATGTGTTGCGTATGCCCAACCATCGTTTGTCGAAGAGAGTGCTGTCTTCCATGCCCGATTCAGAGTGGCGTAAACAGAGAGGCGGCCAACCCTTGACTTGTCAGAGAAGTATGAAGGAAATCACGAAACGCTTGGGTGCTGTTGGTGCTACTCGCCCTCCAGGATGGAGACCACGTGATCCTCACTGTTTCGTTAGAGACACTACAAGATATGACTGCCAACGTTCTTGTTGTCAGTTTCTATCCATATCGCCTGAGTGAGTGTCTGGAGGTATAGGCACCTCGGAATGATTGCGGTAAGCTAGCACCAAGTCCCTTCCCCGTCAACATTTACTCTTTTCTCAAAAAACACCGTAAATGTTGTACTGTGTTCAAAATACTACGACGAGCTCATACGAGTTTCGATTAGATCAGCTGGTCATTCTGGGCTACCAAGAATATACATAAAATAATCAGTCACAGAAATATACGAAGTTAACATGAGTAATCTGAGCTTACCTGGTGCAGGCTCTCCATATTAAGCGGATATCGAGATGGTATGCGAACTCCAAAACCAAGCAGAAGGTGTGATGTCTGTAAAACGCAGAGACGACAGGTACTGAAAAATTAATGAAAAAAACACGCACAAACCCAAGGAGAGGCACAGTGAAAGTAAACTAAATTTCTCGTGGCACACGTCTTGTGAAACATCTTTAAATCTCCCTACAAATGTGTACGTCATCTCGCAGGTGGAGAGAGGGAATCGCGCACGACTTCTGTAAATACTTACCATGAGGGTAAAATTTGAACTTGGGAGGTTTGCATTTATCCACTAACTTTATAACTCAGGGTAGAAAAGAGCATTGTACGTCCGAAATAAAAATGCAGTTCGTACCGACAGTTTTCACATGCTTTATACCGTCGAGATTACTGCGGATTTTCACTTTGATCGGCAAACAGTCAGGCTTATTACCGAAAATCTGTTCAAGTATTTTCTAGGCTGATTGGTTTGTTATTGACTAACGTATCTCCCTGTAACTTCGTGTTATGCTTAGTACAATTCTCAGTGATTTTTAACAATGTTGTTTTTTACTGCTGATTCCCAGCGTGGTAACAGCAAGTGAACAAACTCAGGTCTGTTCGTCGTTTTATATGGAACACATCTACGTTGATCGAAAGTTTTCAGTTGGCTGCCCTCCTTCAAATTCGTGACGATGACCTTGAGAGGACCTCTCTTCTAATCGATAAATCAGAACGCCAATCAGAAATGCCTTGTAGTTGACTGCAAAAAAACAGATACATACCCGGTGTAGTTGAATACTTCCATAGGCCTTCTTTGTGGTATTCTTTGGCAACGGCGGTGGCGTTCGATTTCGGAACTGAACGGTAAGGGAAGAAAAACTTCAGGTTTTATGAAACCTGTTCGGTCGGATTCGAACCACGGACCCTCCGGTTAATAAATTCGAGTTTGAAACATCTTTCTTAAGACATCTATAGCCACTGTGGACACCATATGATCGGACCGGACGCCTCCACGAATGTTATAAAACTTCTCCCATTTAACACCGACAAAAACGAATTCCACGGCTTCACACTTCACAGTTGTTCAAAAAAAAAAATATGGGAAGATCGCAAGACGCGAAACTTTACAATTCCAGCAAAGAGAAAGCTGTGTTTTAGTGAACAAACATAATCAGAGAACAATTGTCTAAATTAATGGTGTCCGTTTTGTAGTGACAATCTTTGGGTTGGGTAATGATCAGATGAGTTGTTTACCATTCCAGAACGGCTGAGGAATTTATATTGGAACCAAAACACCCGACATTCTTTCACTAAGAATTCTACTCTGACAGCAAAATCTCACCATACGGTTACAGACCATTCACAACAACGAAAACAGTCCGGACAGCGTCCTGATGGGTATTCAGTGCATCTGAACATTCCATGTCGTGCTTGCGCTGTGATGTAAAAGGCATCATCAATCGGCTTCGTTTCACCTACAGCTTCTCGGTGTCGCATCCCTTCGAAAAATCGACTATCCAATTCATGCAGAACGTTGCAAACAGCACCCCTCATTTGAACGGAATTGGAAAGGCTATCACGCATCGCGTCGCTGTTAACTTCCATGCTGGTAAACAGTAGTCATTATCAAAGCATACGTGTGACGAAATGATGCACCGTGGATGCTGAAGCTATTCGGCTCAAGTATAATTAGATGCCCACGTCGCAGAACTTCTCTCATGAAGTCAAGGAAGCAACTGAAAGCACATATGCTGCCAGTGTCGCCTGTCTGCTGTTTTTCAAAACGTATCCAGCTGGGCGCACGCGAAGCCGCGAAGACTCCGTTTTGGAGGGAGCATCACAAAAACAACCCGCAAACTCCGGTCTCTTCCCTTTTTGCCAAGCCAAAAGTTGCCTTTTTGCAGTTTGTTCCAGTCTGCATAAGTGTCGTATAACAATAGCTAGCTAGCGTGCACAGCACAGGACGGAATGAAAGGTCCTCACATGGTTCTCACATGCTTGTTGTTGAAACACATTGGGATTCTAGGCCTTTTTACACCTGACACTACTCTAACCGTTCAAGGTTAAGATGTGATCTTCGCAGTTTCAACTCGATCACAATTCGGCTTGATACTCATTGATCGGAATTACCAAAACTGCATTACGGGAAGGTAGGGTCACGATAGGGAACAAACGGGCTCCTCCGTGGTTACTATCTTAAATTTGAAGTTTGCAGTGGCGAAGAAAAGCTTGTTCTCATGCCATCAACGTAGTAAGCACCATCCGTTGTCATTATGGCTGGTCTGACCCAAGCACTCGTCGTACTCGTAGCATCATACACAACGACTATGCCCATGGTTTTTGTCGGTAGTAACGGAAAGTCTCTAGTTTCCCTCTCTAGCATACTCAGAGCTGTAGTCTGCTGGGGCATAGACAGATGCATTGAGGAACTAAGCATTGGGATCCCAGAAAGTTTGAAATGATTTTGCAGCCGTTCCGAAGGAACTGCGCAGATCAGATCAACGTAGACACATGCGCTCCCTTTTGTTGGCTCTAGATAGTGCATATCTTGACATGGTCACCACTACTGGTACGCACTCAGAAGTGGCAAGAGAGGGACGAGTTATTTTGTTAGTGCGTACTGAACTAGAGCTTCTGATTTCAATCATACGGTAATCAGACCTATTAGAGAATAGAAACCCTTGACTTGGCAGAGGAGTATGAAGGAGATCACGAAATGCTTGGGTGTTGTCTGTGCTACTCGCCTTCCAGGATGAGGACCGCGTGATCCTCACCGCGCCTGGTAGGAGAGACTACTAGATATGGCTTTCAACCGATGCCAGTGGCGTTCTTGCTGCCAGTTTCTATCCATATCGCCTGAGTGAGTGTCTGGAGGTATAGGCGCCTCGGAATGATTGTGTTAAGCTAGCACCAAGTCCATTCCCCATCCACCTTTACTCTTTTCTCTACAATAAGGCTTTCAAATAAATCATGTTTGTACGGCGGTGAAGCATCGGTGTTGAACACTGATGTCATGCTGTCGATGATGATGATGATGATGAGCATGGGAGCAAGTGTCAGAGTCATCAGGATCGCAACACACAGGTTCTGGCTCCTGTGCATCGAAATGCTCCGTTTGCGCTTACTGACAAACGTTCCGCGAAGCCTGAATACTTCGGCCCTGCGGTTTTTGTATGCGCTACGCACCTGCGAACTATAAAATGTTACTACACTACTAACCAGGATCAAGGGGAAACTCAAGGTTACAGGTAAACCGAATGAACTGGCGGACAGACTCGATCGCCTGCGTGACTTCGTCAGTCCTGCCTGTTCAGTCAAAGACGATGTTGCCATCTGCAAACGGATGGTCTGAATGGCTTTTGTTTACTAACCAGATGATTGTTGATCCGTTCATCGCATGCGGACAGTCAAGTTGCAAGCTAGCTGTTATGACCACCACGCAAATTTACGGCCATCCTTTCGGTATCCAATAGAAACACCCGCGTTTCCGATATGTGGACATATTACCAACTACTTTGATCGTTCAACGCCTCAAACAGCCCCTTCTGATGTCGGACGTCCTCTGGCCGAAAAGCTTCCAAGCAGCAGAACCTGTACTTCCTTTGTGAGCGGTTGCAGAAATGTGTGCCGCCACGGAGTACAACCTATCAGGTGTCAATAAACAACTCAAAAGTTTACACACTAGCTCGGAAGAGTCTTTTTCAAGCCAGTCGCTAAACTCGATCAATAGGTCCACAGCCTCTCCTGTACTGCTCTCACTAGGTCACAATCTGTGGTGCAGAAATAATACAGAAAAATGCAATGAACCACATGTTGTGTAGATCAGAAACCTGAACACTAAATTCAGGTTTCTTTGAAGAATTGTGAGTCTTTACTGGGAGTGTCATACCAGTGTAACTGTGGATACTACTGGTGAGGCATGCGAGTAAAATGTTTCTGGTAAATCTGCTTCGCGTCTATTGAAAAGTGAGATTAATTACGGAATTTGTGACGAGAAAGTTTACAAAGACCCGTTCGACAAGAAGACGGACATTTGGTTTTTTTATACACAAACGCATCTGAGAATTTTGCTCCCCTGTCCAATAGTCTGCAAGAGTTCATTTGAAGCTTTCCAATAAACAACTCCTCAGCGAAGGCCTTCTTCCCTTCACCAGTAGTGCTGAGGGCGTGCCATAATTTTTGGAAGGACCAACTTGCCTGCGGCCTGGTAGTGTTCTATGGGCGCGACCCTGGATGGGTAGACTCGTAAGTAGGAAGGCCAAATAGTGATACTGAAACAGAGCGAATTATTACCCGCCACACTGACTTGGACTCCAGTACTCAAACATCAGTCGATCAACACAATTGCAAACGTGCTCGGACCACATACTCCACTCAGCGCATACATCCGGTCTCTCCCTGTGCAATATGCCCTTAAAATCTTTTAGCCAAAGATGTTTTACAACCATACATGAACTCGCCTGTCAAAGAAATAAGCTACAGCCCTCAATCCATCGGTGCCCATCCCTGTTATCCAGGTAGTTCGCAATCAAGACTGTGACATCTAAAACCACCGTTTATACCAGCAAAAGTGTACACAAATTTCGACTAAGACATGTTGTTCCATGATATTAGAGGCGGATACTTTAAACTTTACACTGAGGAACAAGGTTGAGTTCATGAACCATATGACTAGCTTGTTTTTTATCGAGTATACGGAAGAAGAGAACAAAACAGTAGAAAATGTGTCCGACGCACATAGTCAATTTTGGCTGACTGAGGACTTTAAAGATTCGGAAGTCGGGTACCCGGCTGCAGTCTTTAGGTACTGATGACAATTTGGTCTGTGTCAAATAAGACCAGGATGCAAATCGTATACCATCGATGAACTGGGCACAATTTTACATTTAGAATGAGCATAAGTCCAGAGACAAGCGTACTCAGCAGGGGCTAGAACAATATGTACTCAGAGTTTCTCACCTCCGGAGACATTATTAGTCTTTAGAATGCACAAATGTCATCATGGAGTTAGAATAAATTTCACAGGGGAGGAAAACGTTTGAGTAATTTCTTGAAAAACCGCGCTTAATTGAAATAACCCATCATTTGATCCGGTACCAAAATTTCCAAAGAGGTTTTTCGAGTAGGAAACGTTCTGATGGTGAGCACTTACCTCAAAAATAGCCTTTTGTAACAGCTCATATTTGTACGTGACGTCGCCAGCCTCCGAAATCGGCGCGTCGTAGTCGTAGCTTGTTATCGCGGGAACATCCACCGGCTTTCCATTCCACAGTCCAAAATTAGTGCCCCCATGAAACATGTACCTTAAAACAATAGAGTTTCATTGTTTCAACACTGGCGTATAACACTTATCATCATCATCATCGACAACATGACATCAGTGTTCAACACCGATGCTTCACTGCCGGCGGTTTCAAACACACTGGCGGTTTCAAATTTTATCGTTATTAGGTGGAATTGCCTCGTTCCAAAGCGAGGAGCGACTAATGACAGGTCTCGCTCAGAGCGGCACCACAGTAGCCGTTCAGTACGGCCAGAAGTACTTAGACAATACAGCCACCGTGGAAGAGGAAACAGGCCCACTGAATCTGTCCAACAAGGGTGCCTCCAACAAAAACCAATCCACTACCGCAAACGGGTTGAGCAAATCCTTCCCCAATGATGAATACCGGAGTCATCCTTGTTCTAGATAAAATCATCTAATGAAGAATGGAACTTTGCTACAAAAATCAGAACAGTATTCAGCTGGCCTTCATTTCAGCATACTTGTCGTACAGGAATTTTACTACGATATGCGTTCATTTCCAAAACAACTGCGATTGCTATTGAACACTTTCCAGACTTCCACAGCACCCATTTTATGAATCAGTCACAATTGGTATTTTCAGAGCGGAATATCTTGTCGGATTGGAAAGCGAATTTAATTTAGACAGGATTCGTAAGTGTTCATCAGGTGCATCGTGTCAAACACACTTAACAAAGAAACCCGGTTTATAAAGCACCACTCGTTTTTCTCCAGTGTGATCCTCTGTTTTGTCTACTTAGTACAGTCATTGAAATGGAACATCCGTAACTTGTGACACTGCATTTCTCTTGATGCATTGAAGATGTCCACGGCTTTGGTGAGTGTCGCGAAACTCATCACTTACCTCATGCTTGCATGGGCGTCCGTCGTGGTGACGAAAGAGCTAATTGATCTTGCGTGTCCTAAGGAGGTGGTCGAATGGCGGATAGAGGATTACTTACACTTGATATATTACTCCTATCTATGACGGAAAAGCTAGATCATCGCGCGGTTAAAACTCACGTTTCAATCATAAAAAACTACATGTTTTTGCAAGATTCGAATTTGCGTCGAGGACACATTTGGTACTCGGTGACAGGCACAAACAGCTCAGAATATGAGCACGAAAAACATCCACGAAATACAGAGCAATAACCCAAGTGCAATAATTTCTCGGCTAGTTTTGCTGAGAAATCATTGTCGACCACAGTCTCCTTAACGCCTTCATATCACCGTGAACCCCGGTCTGGATAACCGATTGATAGCCTGGTGTGCTTCGCCAAACCAGAAAAAGTCAATGAAGGTGCGAGTCGGCTGATCACTGCCACGTATAAGCGATACTAAGAGCACAACTCATCCGTCAAGGGCGAGTGAAGAACAAACAATGAGATCTGTCCCGACGAAAACGGCTATTTCATTGGCTGTTATATAGCCTCGTTACGTTCGGAGCTGGTTCTTCTAATAGAAAGACACTAGTATTAGCCGTAGCACGTTAATCTCATTTGAACAGTTCCAATTCATTTCTGATGCTATGTGACTATGTCTTGGAGACAATCTAGTCTACGAAACTCCGCTACTCCTCCCATGCAGTCTAGCTATACTACTGGAATATCAAAGCTTTTGGGTTGTTCTAGATAGGTGCGGTGCCTCGAATTTCGACCCGGTTATTGTCCTCTTTTCGTCGACGGCCAAACGTTTATATGACCTTGGTGTAAAAACTATGAAATTTCAATATTATTCAAATGGATAGTGCCTAAAAATTGCGCGTTTATTTTCCACTTACATGTTCACATTGACTCGCTTGGAATATTTCATCAGGTTCATTAAACTGTTTCGGACAAATTCCGCTCCGGTTCTTGCGTGCTTTCCACCCCAACCATCAAACCAGCCTGAATAGAATTCGCTGTTAATCTACAAGAAAACGAGACACCAAGAGTCAAACTAACCTGTGAAGCAACTGCATCTATTCCACCTTGGAATTGAAGAAGCTGTTTTGTGGATGTGACTTGTTATACTACTGCTGTTTAGTTACTGAAATCGGACCGATCTAGAGTTTACTGGGTAACAAACCCTATTAGCTATATTGCTGAAAGTTGTTCTAGTGAAAATGAATTTCTTGTTATGCTGCTGCACTGTGCTTTAAGATCGTATCACACGAATACAACAGTTATTGTTTCTGACATACGAAAACAACCAGCTGGTTGCGTAAGTCACAAGCTGCAAGTGCATCCTGGTCAAAAATTCAATATTCTTCGGAGTTTTCTCTCGCTTGATCACAATCATTCGCCCACGGATGGTGTATTGAGCACTAGGAATGTTTTGTCGCATAGCAACAGAGCACTAGCAACCCAGGTGCTAATGGTGATACCTGTTATCGGGAAAGCGTTTTTAACTGATGTAAATAAATGTTCCAGGAAGAGCTTACTTAGCTGTTACCAGCTACAGGATTACTGTCCATCTAAAAACACGTTTACTGGAAGGTGAAGAAGTAACGTTGGAAAAATATGCCACTTATTTGTAGGCTACTAAACCCTTTACGTCGTAGTTAATTTCAGTCCAAGTCTGAGTAACTTGGTTGCAAATGCGAAGCTGAACTTCCCCCTCCTTGTTAGATACAAAAATCAGGTAGTCAATCACCGACACCACTTGGGATATCAGTGACAGGAGAAGTGAGTGCACAACGAAGGACCAGTAGTGGACTGAATCAATGGGTTTAACCTTGTAACGTTATGCAAACTCAGCATCTAAGATTGAAACTAGACAGTTTGCCAAAACCCCTTGCAAGGGGTGTGATGCATCCTGGAACTCATCAAGATGATGTTGATGGTAGCTGTTCAATAGTTCTTCAAGCGTTTTTAATACATTCCTCATGGAGATTCGTGCATCCTGGGTGCACGAAACTTATTAAGTGAAGTGGGTTTTCTAGGCACTTCAAATGGATGAAAAGAAACCTCAACACCAGAAATCAACACCGCGCACAGAAAAAACTTACAAGGGGTTGACCTGGCCTGAACTTTTCCACCGAACTAAAAGATACATCAGGGGGGTTGGTGGCTAAAACAGAAAGGTGAGTTTGACAGTAATAAGTAACTGACAATGTGCTTCGGAAGCTTTAATGTGACCGCCTGCAGAGAAGACCAATCTAAGCAAACAACGGTCTGCATTAGAGTCAACGGCAATACTGCTCACATCGCGTCTTAGGAGAGACCCTACTCACCGCTTTAGAGGCCCTGCTGTTTCCTTTTGCAAGAGGCAGCTTTACTTTCTAAGAAACGCCGTGAATAGACGGTTCCTGAGCAAGGTTTCCCAGCGTCTTTATCTGTCAGAACCGCTGGTCTACCTTCATGGTGATCGCCGAAACGTAAGTTCGTGGAGGACGGGGGGTTCACCATTGCGTACTCAGTCAGAGGTCTTCAGCCCTCACTATTGAACCACATCCGAGACAACTAATGTTCTGTCTCGCATACCGAAACGAAATGGCTAGAAACGCTCTGTACACAGAAGCTTTGCTTACTGCTAAATAAATTGGCAAAATATTTGTTTCGGAAACTCAGGGGCTAGCTTTATTCAACAGATGTATTTCAGAATACCACTTTCATTCATGGTGCCTGTGAGATCCTGAACAAGAGGAAAATGTAAACCTCGTAACTGTGCTAAATTAAACAAAATCCCGGGTTCAAATACCCCGAACGGGGAATACAATCTACTCTGCTGTCAAAAAGTAAGTAAAAGTTTGTTGAATATAATTTTTGTAACTTTTAATAATCCACTACCTGAACAGAATTAACGATTTTTGTTAATCTACTCACAGTGGAGTAACGTGTACACTGTCGTGTGATACAACCTAAAAAATGTTTCTGAGCACGAACCAGTGTGCTGTTTCGAAAATTGGACTTGCGGCACAATCCCTATTAGTTATACTACAAAATTCCCAGCTAGTGCCAAGGAGTTTTTGGTTGACAGCAGAAAAGGAGCACTCAGTCTCTGACCAGGTCGGAAAACTGAGGACGACCTATATCTGCAAACCACTAACTGGGACAGCCCTCGATTCTTCTGCGTAATTTCTTCTTATTAGCTATTCCAGTACGATCTTAGGGACTCACGTTCGCCATCCCGGTGCTCGGAATAAATGGCGCAGGATTTGCTCGTAGTAATACGGATGATCTGATTTCACTAAAACAGTGGAACGTTTGTGCAAAACTCCATCTTTTGGAGGGTAACAATCGCAGAAAATCGCTTTTCCTCATCCGCTCACTTTGCAGTCATTATGAGAGGAAGGGCTTTTAACTTACGTAGTGAATGTCGTTTCATCTACGAGTGGCGACCTTTGAAAATGTTGAAGTTGAATGTATTCTTCCCTCAGCAATTCAGGACTTATCAATTCGAACCATCTCAAAAGGCAAGCGGTTTCAGAGGTACCTTTGTTTCTCGTGCCACACTCGACGCATGCTTCAGCTCCTCAAATAGGCGAACATCGCCCGATCCGGATAATTCCCCCTACGTGTAAGCAACCACGGCATCTATTGAGAGGTATGCAGTACAAGTTTAAACTCATAAACCACTCGGAAAATATGTGCCCAAGCAGAGTCCACCACATCACTTCGTATTCCAAGTTAACTTACTCGGGCCGAAATCGATCGTAGCGAGGTATCTGGGATCAAGAACACCGCAGCGAAGGTAGCCCAGAGCGCAGCCGTCCGTCGTAAACAAAATGACGTCTTCACCTAAATGCGACCTCGCCAAGTCGTACAAATCTGTCATGTAGGTGCGGTCACAGAGACCATATGATCCATATTCGTTTTCCATCTGTTAGGACGAACATCACATTGCAATGTAGTCAAAATTATTTCTTTCGGGACTTCGACTAATGTAAAAGTTGAAGACTGGTATCTGTAAAAATCCTGAATGAAACCTAATTATGACAGATTAGATACACTTACAAAGCATATATTAGAGCATATGCTGACTGTGAACAAGATACTATTCTTGTGATCATTCATACTTCGGCTCGCCTTACGTTTCCACCGCCCTGTGTTTTTATTCTGAAAGGGTTCGGTATCAGCGGGATGACAACCACGCAGCGCACCATGAAAATTACAAGGCAACCCACTTCAACCACCCAACTGCTATCTCCATTTCTTCGCTTTTAGCTGACCCACAGATGAATACCGGGCGATAAGTTACACTGTTTTTAGTGGACATTCAAACTCACTCCATATAACATCGTGTTAACTTGCACCGCACTCTGAATGTCATTCATTCAGATTTCACTGGTTGTTCCATTTGCCTGGTACGTGAGATCCTTCGGAGAACTGGCAAACTGAGTTCCGGCCACAAACACCGAACCGGTCTGATTTTCGTTGAGCCTGCGCTTGTAAGCAAACCCTTCCTTATACTTTCATGTGGTTGGGTAAAATAAAGACCAGCCGAAATCCATTTGTATACTTCCGTAATACGGCGGCCTTTAAGGCACGCCCGTACTTGTCCACTGTGTGCATACGTCTAGCAGTGGAATCTCTCTCGAACTAGGCGAAAACGTGAATCTCGTTGAATGATCCAGCAAGCGAAATACTGTTATTACTTTCCGTGACGTATCCGAATTACAAAAGTCTGTACTTCTTGGCCTTAATTGATCCGACCAGCGCTGTGAGCAGGGAACAAC